TCGAGCTTGATTAGTGGCTTCATAGCAACCAAACTAAACGACCATTTTCAGGGCCACCGCATATTCCAAAAAGAGAGAAGCCGTAATTTAAATGATTTATATCATCAGATTGTGGCGAGTGTGATAGATTTTCAGTTGAATTTACTGCCATACATACTGTCAGGGCGACGTCATACATCAATCATACTGGTATTCCTCACATTACTGCTTGTACTATAAAACATCAACATTGACAGTTGTGTGCAACGTTTCTTCGGAGCTGACGTGGCTGACGTGTCAATCAGAAATACTTGAAGGTAACGTTTGACCCACTGTGCGTCAACGTGTCAACGCGCTCAGTAATAAATATAAACAAAGTACACGCAACTGGCTTACCATGTTTTATTTCAAATCGTGTACAGACTAAATACGTGGTTGCCCCCCCCCCCCCCGCTAGCTACGGCCTTGCGCTAATAGGTTCAAATATAGGTCTGTATTATTTATTATTTATTATTTATTATTTATTGTTTGCGATAATGTATTACACTATTTCAATGGCGCTGATTCTATTTTATTTCCAAAGTTTTAACAAGAGAATTGGTTCGCATTAGGTCCCAGCAGTATATTTCTTAGTATAAATTTGATACGCGCATACGTAAACAAGGATCACAATAGTATGCCTCTATGTAATTTATAGCTAGGAAACAAGATCGATAATCATCTTCCGAATCCCGTTTTTCCAAACAACATTCAATGTTTTAACATGAATATGTGTTGAATTCTAAGGCTCAATAAATTATTTTGAATTATAAAATTGGCTTGCAATATGCTTGACCCCGGTAATTCAGCGGTGTTCAACTTTTACGTCCAATACTTTTTATTAGTCAATTCAACCAAACAAAATTATGTCACTATTATGATTCATTTGTCATGAATTTGTTTTTGCGTATCTGTTGACCGACTTAATTAGTTGATTATTAGCTGAATTGCTGTGTTATATCTGTCATCGTTTAGGCCTATTTGAAGATTTGGACGGAACTTGGCTCAGTGATTTGGAACTAATTACGAGATATCCGTCGCGATTCTGACAGTTGGTATCCATAGTTATTAATGTAGTGAACGATTAATCAAAAGATATGACGTATTCAGTACTTAGTGTGATTGGCTTTATGATTGAAGGTTACGCCCTAGAGTCTTTTTACTGCTTTGTAATTGGTTAGAGTTTTGAAAGTGAATAAAGAGAGTTTGAGTTGGTCTTGGCAAGTACTCCTCGAAAGACGCAGTCCTGGCGAGTCGAGTGCAGTCCTGGAGAGTCTTGGGGCGAGTGTTGACGCAGTCTAAGAGAGTCTTGGGTCAGCCTTGCGATAGTCTTGGGGAATTTTTCCCCAGGGCGCTGTGTCTGATAGAGTGCTCGATTGACCGACTAAGACGAGAGCTGAAACGTATTTCATTGTGTGTGTCTTATTTGACTGTAAAGCTTAACTGGCTTTCCCGATCCCGTACCTCAAGGGGACGCGATAGAGAGACGAGACGAGTTTCCCCCCTGACACGTGTGGAGAACCCGAGAGTAGAAGAATTTACCCGTGATACGTTTTGGATGAACCCGGGCAGGTGTTTAACACACATTGACATCCTGTGAAGAGAAGTGAAATGGCGAAGAGGTGTCTTGCTTGTGAACCGAATTAACAGCTCCATGGCAGAGACGACTCGGAAACCGCGCTTGACGACTAACACCGTTAACAGTATGGCACCGATGAACGACGCTGAAGAGATGAAGACTTCGAAGCCCCTTTGGAAGGACCAGTACCGGATAGGACTGTATAATTAAGAATTGAGCGACATTAAAGACAAGAAGATGAAAGAACGACCCGGACTAACGCGACGACAAGAGGAGACGCTTATAGACTTTGATTAGAACTTTAGCTATCTGTGTATTGCTTAGAGAACTGCTCGCTGGACACTGTAACTGACACTGTGTAACTCAAGACGTTGAACCCTTTTTCACAATCCCAACACTATTGCTTAGTAATGTAATGTATTGCTTGCTTTTCCTATCTTTTTTCTTACCGTTTTTGTTGTTGTTGTGGTATTGAATTGTATGTATGTGAGCGCCCAGATCTTTGTTTTGAAATGATATTTGGTGACGTGCGAGGTCCTTTGTAACGATTTAAGCGCGCCTCAGTGGACAAGTATTTGCAACACAGTGTTTTGAGTTTTGTTAAGTTTTATGGTGTTTTAATGAGTTTATGAGTACGGATTATGATGGGGAAAGTAATGCCCCAATGAGTTTTTCAGAGTTTTGAGATTTGTCGAGTACAGAGATACCGACGTTTTAAGAGTTGTTTTTGTTTATGTGTTGTTTTCCGGAATACTTCTGACGCTTTTTGAGTTTAGAGCACTTTGTAACGTTTTTAATGTCTTTTTGAGGTGAGAGTTTGGTGCGCTTATATATGTATTGTTTTATAACGCAAGCTTTTGTTCATGATTGACAGGTTTATATGTAACTTAGTAGTTTCTATCGTTTTAGTCTTTCCCGTCTTTTTTGCCAGAGGAGTAATGTGTTATGATAGCTTTGTCTTTGCATTCTGTTTCCACGCCGTATGACTTGTGTTTAGATTAACGACTTGTGAGTTCAGTTGAAGTTTATAAGCGTATATGACAGGAGTTTGATTAATAGCTTGTTTATTCATTGTTTATTAGTTACCGCTTTGCAATGCTTTAACCGAGAGACGCATCCCTGGTAATCACGTGATCATGCTGTCGACTGCAGCGATTGGCTGATCGCTTGGTTACACCGCCACGCCTTAGTTTTTTGACTATTTGATATAGAGTTTGTAACTTTAGTAACGGAGACAGTGCAGCGAAGGGTTACCTCAGCGAACGTTTTGAGAAAAGTGAGTCGTTTGGTAGCCTTTACCTTGTTTTTATTTATAACCGTTGATATTTGAGACTTTATAACCATTGTATTTAGACTTTATAATCATTGTACTTAATTAGTGTGTTTTACTCTTTTTGATTTATACCTTTTCTTAGTATTGTATTTAACCCGTATGACGATGAGTAGAGGACGGTATCTTTGATTTGTGAACGTGTTATGCCAGGAGGCACAATCTCAGTTTGGTGAAGGGATGTGTCATGAATTTGTTTTTGCGTATCTGTTGACCGACTTAATTAGTTGATTATTAGCTGAATT